AAAGTTTCAGAAAATATTACAAAAAGTTATTTTTATAAACAACCTCCTGCAGCTTTAATTTAGAACACTGAATTGCTGAATATTCAAATCCCAGATACAGTACTGCTAGATTTAAATAAAAAAATTATGTAATTAGCCTTTTAAAATAGATGGTCTACATATAAAAACATTTCAGCAGTAGTAGTGATTCAATTTAACAATTACATATCCAGTTGCTTATAAGATTTAAGCTTTTATGGCCATTGCTTTTTTCCATACAAGTTCCCCAAAACCTGGTGTATTCCTCCACAAAAAACTGGAAAGAAAAAAACAATCATTGCGTTTTTTCAAATTGTTTTGTTTTAAAACTTGTTCTTTATCAAAAGCAGTCTTTACAGCTAACAATAAATGTGCAGAAACACACAATAATACTTTAAGTAGCAATAAACAACATAGCCATCTTCCCCAGAGTCAGTGAAGACTGATATCAGCTTCATCCATGTCCAGTACATGATATTTTTTCCCCAGGATGAGTCACGATCCACCCTACTCTGCTTCTGATTGGCTTACCTGACATTCTTACCATAACCCTACCCGTTCCCACCTCTCATTCCAAAACCAATGAAGGCAATGAGTACTAGCTAATCAAATGGTAAAATGGTAAATGGACCTGTACTTGTATAGCGCCTTTCTAGTCTTACGACCACTCAAAATCACACACACACACAAATTCACTCAGCGATGGTAACGCCCATCGAACAGAAACTAACATTCATACACATTCACACACTAATGCACAGCATCGGGAGCAATTCTTGCTCAAACTTCTACATGCAGCGGGAGACCCGGGGAACAAAGCAACAACCCTTCTGATTAGTTGGACGACCCCGCTCCTGCCGTCTGAAGCCACAGCCGCCCCAGAGCCGAGTCCATTTACTTTGGCTACGCCAAATTTGGCATTCCAGAACACAGCTATGTCCCAGAACTTTTTTAGCTAGCTTAGTACCAAAGACTTGAAAAGCACAGATAGTTGCTTTATTAATAATAGGCTTTTTTACACACCAGCAGCCATTCTGACCAATGAGATAGTTGGGTAAACACAGAAGCGTTTACCAC